CCTGGAGGTCTGTAAGACCCTTTTAGGGGATCTGCAAGGTCAAAACTATTTTCATAATAATACTAAGATGTTTTAATTTCTAATATGGTAAGTAGTAGATAGATTGAGGGGAGGCACTCAATAATAAGGGTATAAGGGGGTCCTGAAAGCAAAAAGTTTGAGACCTGCTGATCTGACAAGTTAAATGAATTATCCAGGGTCTCAGACAACACCCGAACTCAGGTCTTCCTGGCTTCAAGGTCAGCTCTCTATGTAACTATGTAGCACTACCTCTCTACTGGATATGCAATATTTGCTAAGTAAGCTTGCTGACTGATTTAATTTTAAAAATCATTACTGACTTCAATACTGATTATGATGACACGGGGTTGACAATGCCACATTTGACTGAAACCACAGGGGTAAGACTGAAGATCACAGGGGTAAGCGCTGGTAGCTTCACTTCGAATCATATGACTTTAGAGCTAGAAGGAATCTTGGTGGCCACAATTCAACTCTCTCACTTTAGAGATGGAGAACCTGAGGCTTCAAAGTTGCCAGCCACACAGCAGCTAGGTGTCTGAATTGGAAAGTTAGGTCTATAGACCAGTGATCATCCTCCACCACATGGTGACTGATTAGAGGACAGAGCCTTACCCTTCAAAGTTTTAAGTCACTTAGTGTTGTCTGTTATCATAGCTTCCATTCACGTCTGAAGCAGGGTTCCACAACAAAGCGGTTTTTAATGATAGGGAAAAAACAACCACCTTACAAAAGCTAGCGTCATGGTAGGCAGATCAAGTTAAGAAATGCAAGGGGCCAAGTTGTGGAGGAATGCCAAGGCCAGAGTTCCAGAGTTATGCAGAACATCACCAAGTGAAACTATAATCTGTCTTTTGAATGACTTTTTCGGGAAAACATAGCCTGGAATACCCATTATGCTGTTTTGATTCAGGTCTTGCCACACATACATAAGCGTTTTGCACATAGCATTCTTCCTGGTAGGAATGAAGGGCCATTGAAATTTATGATTCCAATTAAATGAGCAATAACAGGTAGCCAAGAAAACGTGCAAGGCGCCAACCAGGCATACAAATCCTAATTCCGAGAGGCTGAAGTCTTATGTTGCTTTCGGGAATTCGACTCACTCTGGTTGTATAAGAGGCTGCCCTAGTGATTTCACATTTCACAGAATTTGAGAGGCAGATGGACCTCAGCAGCAATTTAGTCCAAATTATACTCAAAAGCAATCCCTACTATAACATTCTCAACAAGTGGATATCTAACTTCCATTTGGAGACTTCCAAGGAGGGTGAATACATTCCCCTGAGGTAGCCCAGTTCACCTTTATACAACTAATTGTCAAGTTTTTCCTGACATCAGGCCTAAATAAGTCTTATTCTTTAACTTCTATCCATTGCTCTTTTTATGCCCTCAGGGGCCAAACAGAACCTGGTTAATTAATTAATCCCTCTTTCATGCGACAGCCCTTCAAATGCTCTAACTCAGCTATCACCAACCCCTGAAATCTTCTCTTTTCCAGGGTAAATATGCTCAGTTCCTCAAATGACATTGACTCAAGGACCTTCACCATCCTGGGTGCCCTCCTCTGGACACTCTCATACAAAATATAGAAAGGAGTGTTCTCACTGAAAAAAAAATTATTAAATGGGCAAGTGAATCTTTTCTGGGATAGGATTCCCTCATTAAATGCAGGAGGACTCTATTCCCTGTCCCAAGTGGGTGTCCAAATGTGGGAGATTTAATATCTCTTCAATTGTCAGGGAACTAGCTTCCATAAGTGCCAGGAGCAGGAGACAGCTGGGAAATTTGGCATCAATGAAACCCTCCTCCTTCCCTCTCCCCATCTTACAAACAAGACAAGGGGAAACTGGGTCCTTTGTTTAATATGACTTTTTGTGTTTGATTATGGGTTAGGGAATCTTAGCTGAACTGTCTAAGCTTTTGTTCATGGTTTATGGATATTAGCAGTGCACTCCAGATAAATCTGATTATGAAGAACCAGTTCAAAACAAAAAAGACCCACCCCTGAATAGCTTAAATATGAAAGTTCTTACTTTCTTTGCTCTGCAAACAGAAGATTCCTAAGACAACTCCTATCACCCCAACTCTGACAGAAGGGCCAACTTTTAATTAGATTTCTATAGCATATTTACACTACATTTTCTGGAAATCTCAGCTTCAACCACTTCTCTTACAGGTTCAATATTAATTTGCATTTATATGTCAAATTGGGCAGCTAGGTGACAGTGGGCGGAGTGCCAGACCTGGAGTCAGGAAGACTCATCTTCCTGTGTTCACATTTGGCTTCAGACTAGCTGTGTGACTCTGGGCAAGTCACTTCACCTGGTTTGCCTCAGTTTCCTCATCTGTAAAATGAGCTAGAGAAGAAAATAAGTCATTCTAGTATCTTCGCCAAGAAAACCCCAAATGGGGTCACGAAGAGTTGGACACAACTGAAAAATGACTAAACAACACACATCAAATTAAGGTTTAATAATAACTCACATTTCTACATTTTAATGTTTGCAAAATACTTTTTCACAACAACCATATGGGTTGTGAGTATTTCAAGTAGTTTTATCCCAAGTTTACAGACAAGGAAGCTAACCTTCACATAAGCTGGTGACTTATCAAAGGTGACACAAGTAACAAGAGCACTTTACAAGTATCATCTCACTTGATCCTCAGAACAACCTATAATGTAGGTGTCAAGGTGCTATTATCCCATTTTTTAGAGGAGGAAAAGATTAAGTGATTTGCCCAGGGTCACACAGCTAAGAAGTGTCTGAGGCAGGATTTAAACTCAAGTCTTCCTGACTTTAAGCCTAGTGCTCTATTTACTATGCTACCTGGTAAATGTCAGAAGTGGTATTTGAACTCACTTCTCTCTGTACTCCAAGACCATCGTTTTTCCCACCACTACAAGCTCCCTCCTATGTACTGTCCTCACAGTAGCCCCATGAGGTAGGATATACAGGATTATAGTTTTATTGTATACACGAAGCAACTGAAGTTTAGAAAGGTTTAGGGACTCCATAGTCAGCCTACAAGCATTGATCAAGCCATTACTATGTGCCAGGAATCGTGCTAAGGGCTGGGAAGGCAAAGAAAGGCAAAAACATCATCTCTGCCTTTAAGGGGCTCACATTCCAGTGGGAGACAACATGCAAACCATTGTATATACAACATACAAATAGTGTAAATGGTAGGTAATCTCAGAGGGAAAGAACTAGTGGTGGAGGGAGCATGGAAGATCTGCTTAGAAAGTGGGATCTGGGCTGAGTTTTTTGGAAAGCCAAAGGAGTTGGGAGGTAGAGGGGAGGAGGAAGAGAATTCCAGGCATGGAGGATAGCCATCAAGGGGCACAGTCAATCAATCAACAAACATTTATCTATTTATTTTCTTTTAAATAGTGCTTTATTTCTTCCAATTACATGTAAAGATTTTTTTTTATCGAGGCAATCAGGGTTAAGTGACTTGCTCAAAGTCACGTAGCTAGTAAGTGTCAAGGGTCTGAGACCAGATTTGAATTTAGGTCCTCTTCACTTCAAGGCTGGTGCGCTATCCACTGCTCCAGCTACCTGCCCCTAAAGATAATTTTTAACATTCATTTTTTATATGAAATTTTGAGTTCCAAATTTTCTCCCTCTCTGCCTGCCTTCCTGAGATGGTAAGCAATTTGACACAGGTAATAAATGTTCAATCATGTAAAACATATTTCCATATTAGTCATGAATCAACAAATATTTATTAAACCATGTGCCAGGCACTTTCCTAAATGCTGGGGATACAAAAAAGGAGAGACAGTCCCTGACCTCAAGGAACATACAGTCTAATGGGGGAGACAGCAAGCAGACAAAAAGTACAAACAAACTACATAAAGGATAAACAGGAAATAATTAATAGAGGGAAGGCACTAGAATTAAGAGGGGTTGGAGGCTTCTAATAAAGATGGAGTGTTGTGTGTGAGAAACAGCAAGAAGTCTAGTGTGACTGAGTCTTAGTGTGTATGGAAGGGAATAAAGTGTAAGAAAACTGAAAAGTAGGAATCATCCAGGTTGTGAAGGGGTTTTAAATACAAAAAAGAGCATTTTTCATTTGATCCTGGAGGTAATAGGGAACCACTGGAATTTATGAAGTGGGGATCGGAGGGCTGACATGGTCAGACCCAAACTTTGGGAAAATCATTTTGGCAGTGGAGTGGAAGAAGATAAATTGGAGTGGGGAGAGGTTTGAGGTAGGGAGATTAATTAGAAGGCTATTTCAATAATCCAGGCATTAGGTGATGAGATCCCCCACTGAGACGGTGGCTGCATAAGCGATGAGAAGGTAACTTACATTAGAGACGTTGTAAAGGTAAAAATGAAGGGCTCTGCAACAGTCTATGTGAAGTGAATGTGACTGAAGAATCAAAGATAGCGAGACTCTGAATGTGGGCTATTGGGAAGATGGTGGTGCCCTTGACAGTAACATGGCAGTACGCAAGAGGAGAGGTTTGGTGGGAGAGATGTTTTGGGATGTCCAACAGGCAGTTGGTGCTGTGAGGGCAGAGCTCAACTGACTGATGAGATCAGAAGCCAGCTGGGAAATACAGAAGCCTGGATTCTTAAATCCAAAGACTGAAAGGTTTCTTAATTTTTAATCTGAAGTTGCTAGAAATAGTACAAGCAGTGTTTCATGGTGGAAGGAACGTTGAAGAAATATGCATATGCCCCTTTCTCTCCTCTGACACAGCCACTACCTTGGTGCAGGCCCTCATTACCTCACAATTGGGCTATGGCAACAGCTTGCTGGTTGGTCTCTCTGCCACAAGTCTGTCGAAGTAATCTTTCCAAAGCACAGGTCTGACCATGCCACCCCCTTACTCAGTAAACTCCAGTGGCTCCCAATCATTTTCAGGATCACATATAAAATCCTCTGTTTGGCATTCAAAGCCCTTCACAACCTGATCTACCCCATCCTCCCAATCTTCTTGGACCTTACACTCTGTCACATACCCTTTGATCCAGTGACACTGGCTTCCTCATGAGAAGACAAAGATTGATCCTGTATCATCTTCTTGTTGATCCTTTTACAAGTAATTTATTTTGCCCTGTAACTGCTTAAGTCGTGGTTCTTTGTCTCTGAACTCAGTTCAGAGTTCAGCCGGCCTTTAATGGGTTAAATTTTAAACTCTAGCTCTCCTGCCTCAAGGAATTTAACTGACCTTGGTGAACTCTGAGAAAACAACGGAGTTTGGGCCTGATATCTTTATTCCACTACAATATCCTTCAAAGATATCTGTTTTGTTATCCAAAAGTCTGGACCACCATCTTGCACCTGAACTCAAACAAAGATCACCTTTAGTCTCATGAGAAAAGAAGGGAGGAGGTATCATTGCTAGCCCCCTTAACCAAATTCCAACCAAGCATGTTGCCCATAATCCTATGATGTCATTTACCCTGCTCTGTTCTTTGTTCTGTACTCCCCAAAACCTATCTAAGGGGAATTGTCTTTTTGCTTGGGATCTTTGGCATTAATGGAGGTAAGCCACTGACCCATTTGTTGACAGGTAACATGTCCTTGCTAATTAATGTTATATTGTTCTGAGATCTGCCTCAGTTTACCCATTTGTCAAAATTCAATCGTGACACTTGCTGTTCTTCAAATAAGATATTCGATCTCCAGATTACTGGCATTTTTACTGGCTGTCCCCCACGCCTGGAATTCTCCACCTCCTCATCTTCACTTCTTGAATCCCTGGCATCCTTTAGGTTCCAGCTAAAATCCTACCTCCTATCAGAAGCCTTTCTCAATCCTTCCTAATTCTAGTGCTTTCTCCTGTTGATTATTTCCAATTTATCCTGTAGTTAGCTTGTTTGTACATAGTTTTCATGTGTCCCTCTCATTAGACTGTGAGCTCCTTGAAAGCAGGGACTGTCTTACGCTTTTCTTTAGATCTCCAGCACTTGGCACAGTGCCTGTACAGAGAAAGGGCTTAATAAATGTTTATTGACCGAGTGATCTCTTTCCACCCCAAATCACAGAATCCTAGCATCCTCTGCTAGTTTACAATCAAAATACACGTACAGATTTTATTAGTAGTTGAACTGAGTTAAAATAAGCCTTCTTGTTTTCTGCCTGGCAAATAGTAAATGTTTAGTAAATGCTTGTTCATTGACTGGTTTCTGTTAATATATGTTGAGAACTATGATAAAAGACGACAATATGATCCAAATGTCTTAGCAATAATAATCCTTCATAGGATCACAGATTTACAGCTGGAAGGAATTTAGATTAGTCCAACCACCTCATTTTACAGATGAAGAAACCGAGGTCCAGAATAGCTTAGTGACTTTTTCAATGTTACACAGACAATGCATATTATTACATATTTACCTTCAAAAAATTATAGCACAATTAATTTTATATTCACATGGTATGTTTCACCTATAGTACTACTGAAAGTAAAATTTTGACTTCTGAGATGTTTCAAGAGTTTTTAGGTGCAGTTCTGCTTTGCTCTTTTAATATGAACTGCCTCAGAAGGCTGGACTGAATACAGAGCAACCAGTATATTCACAGCCATTCTGAGACTAGCATATAGTAGCACCAAAATGTCCAACTCTCCCTCTAAGCTGTTTGAACTGGACAACTGCCTGAAAACTGTATTTCATTAATCTTGAGTTTCTCTGCCCCTTATTAGCTTTGTGCCCTTAGGCAAGCTACTTTTCTAAAGCCATTCATCCACCTATAAAAAGAGGGGGTTGGATTACAGCATATTGAGGTTCCATCACTAAATCCTGTGGCCCTATCTTTCTTTAGTCTATAGCTGCTCGATTTAAGACATTTTAAAATGTCCTAGGTTTGAGAAATGGAGAAGTTGGGAGAAGGGGGTGTTAGGGATTTTTTTTTCATATTCTAATCTGAATATGTACTTCTATTGGTATAGGTGAGCTCCAGAGAGAAGATACTTCTGTCAATGTAAATTGGCAAGTTATGCAATTCACAGTTTGACGGAGCTGCCTGGAAGGCACAGAAAGGTTAAATTATTTGCCATGGGTCCAGTTACACAACCACTAGGAGTCAGAGTCAGCACAAGTCCTATTTAAAAAGTGACAATCTACTCCTCTCATTAGGGCTTTTAGGAAGGGGAAATACAAAGGTCCAGAAAGTATCTGTGCATGCTGGGGGAAAGAAGCCCAGAGCCTCCCCATTAGAAAGTGAACTCCTTGGGGGCAGGGACAGTGTTATTGTCTTAGTGCTAGTACCATTCTCGCATTTTGTCTGGTGCCTCTTACTGGACCCTTCCTTCCTCATCCTACCCCCGGGCCCCTAAGCCCTGACAGATCAACTTTTGCCTTATGTTGGAGACCCAGACAGAAAGGCTGTGCTGTGGGGTGTGACTACCCCTACCACGCCCCTACTCTCCTAGCTCTCCTTTATGTGTAGTCTTCCTCCATTAGAACTTAGAAAGGAATTAAAAATCATTAAGATTGAGGAAAAATTAGGGGGGAAAAAGCAATCCAAGAAAATTACAAAAAGAGAGTTCACCAACTGGAAAAAGAGATACAAAATCTTAAGGAATAACTCCTTGAAAGCTAGAATTGGGCAAGAGGAATTGAATGATGTCATGAGACACCAAGAAATAATAAAACTAGAAAAAGTAGAAGAGAATCCGAAACATCTTGTTAGAAAAAAACAACTGATCTGGAGAACAGATCAAGGAGAGACAATATGAGAACTGTCAGACTATTGAAAGTTACGATCAAAAAAAGAATCTGGACACAATATTTTAAGAAATTACTAAGAAAAACTGCCCTGAAGTTCTAGAACAAGAAGGTAAAGTAGTAGCAAAAAAAAATCTACCATTCACTATCTGAAAGAGATTCCAGAAGGAAAACTTAAAGGAATGTTATAGCCAAGTTTCAAAACTCCCAGGTTAAGGAGAAAATATTGCAAGCCACAAGGAAAAAACAAACAAACCCAAAACAATGTAAATACTGCAGAAATACAGTCAGGATTTCACAAGGCCTAGCAGCTTCTACTCTAAAAGACTAAGTATTGGAACATTATATTTTGAAGAGCAAAAGAGCTGGGGTTGTGTCCAAAGATAACTTATCCAGCAAGGTTGCATATAATCCTAAATGAAAAAAATGGATATTTGATGAATTATAATGTAAGCTCTTTGAAGGCAGGAGCTGGCTTGCTTGCTGGCATTAGTAACCCCAGCCTTTAACATAGTGTTTGGCACATAATACACACTTAATAAATGCTTTATCTATCTGTAACCAGGTTACTCAGCCCAGTGGCACAAAACTCTGCCCACTGGTAGAGACTGATGCCAGCATACAAAAGTAATAAGTGCTTGTTGATTGACTGAATAGAATGTGTTGGATTTGAAGTCAAAAAGCTCTGAATTCAAATCCTTGACCTGAAGCTAGGTGACCCAGTAGAGGATCTGGTGTCATAAAGTCCCAACACTTTGTAGCTGGGTGACCCCTGGCAAGTCATTTAGTCTATTAAGTGACTCCTTAGTCTACTCATTTGTAAAACAGGAATAATAACAGCACCTACCCCACAGGGTGGTTATAAGGTTCAAATAAGATGACATAGGAAAGTCAAGACAAATCAAAAAGCATTTATGTAAGGCTTAATATGTCAGGCACTGTTGTAAGGGCTTAAAATATAGATGCAGGCAAAAGGGAAGAGCCTCTGCCTTCACAGAGCTTCATTCTAATGTGAGAAAACAACATAAAAAAGAAACAGAAAAGCAAAGGGGGAAGGGTGAGAGAGGTATGTGCCAGGTGGGCACAGTCAGGGCTGGCAGCAGAATGAGGGATGGTTGATCTGTGCCCCTCCTCACAATGGAACTCACCAATGGGAGAAGGGGGCCACAGAAGAGACAAGGCAATTGAAGCTTCGCTTCCAATCTAACGGGCACAAGCAAACAAATATACACAAAACAAGTTACATCCAGGAGAAATACTCTTGTTCGTGGTGCCGAACTCTAAAATGATGTCCTGGCTGATCATCTGGAGCTGGACTACGTGACTGGCTAGGGTCGCCCCTCGGCCGCAGGGCTGGGATTGGGGCTCCTCCCTTGGGGAAGCCCCGAAGCCTCCCTCTGCTCGCTCCCTCTGCTCCTTCCCAGACACTCGCACGCGGTCCTCTGCAGCTCCCACGTGCCGGAAATGGAGCGGAGAGGGGGCGGGCACTTCCGGGGCGCCAGAGGTCGCGGTGGTGGCAAGATGGCGGCCCCCTTAGAGCTCAGGTGCTGGGGCGGCGGTTGGGGGCTTCCGTCAGTCCACAGCGAGTCTCTGGTGGTTCTGGTAAGGGGCCGGTCCCTCAGGGAGGGCGGGGTGGGGGGTCGCGGGCGCGGAGCTGCTGACGCGCAGCCTGGGCTCCGCCTGCCGCCCCTCCAACTCCCTCCCCCCCAGGAGCCATCCGCCTCCTCCGCTGCGGGGGGCCAGGAGGGGAGGGGGCGGAGTGACCGTCAGGAGGAAGGAGCGCCAGCCTGGGTTCGGGTCCTCCAGGAGCCTGGGCTCGAATCCCGGCCCTGCGGCTTCCTTCCTCTGTGACCTTGGTCCAGTCACTGCCTGTCTCTGGGCTCATCCCCTTGGTAAAGAGGGAGGCATTGGCCGGTGTGGGGGGAGGGAGGACACGCCAGCCCCCTCCCCCACTTCGATGTAAAACTAGGGGAGGTGGATTCGATGACCCTAAGGGCCCTTCGACAGACTGTCAGAACTTGGGGGAGTGGGCATGGGTTTGCCCCGCCCGCAGCCCTGCTGTCAAAGTTGTGCCACGAGGGTCAGCCCTTCACCCCAAGGTCCTGCGAGCACGGGGTTGTCTGGGGTGAGCGGCTGGAACAAAATAAATCTGCCCCGCCCCCCTCCTCTCCTGCCCCCTCCCCATCCCCCTAGGTCCCACCCCCATCTGTCCCCCCGCCCTGCCCCAGCCTCCTCGGGTCCTGCACCGGCCCCGGCTCACATCTGGCCAGGTGTGTGCCGCTGCTCAGAGTTTTGGGTTGATGTGTCCGCACCCGGACTGAAATGTTTTACCGCACGCTCTATTTTCAGGCTTATGCCAAGTTTTCTGGTGCGCCCCTGAAAGTCAGTGTTATAGATAACACCTGGAGAGGTTCGAGAGGTAATAGTGGAACATTTTAAACCTTTTCTTCCGCCCTGATCCCCCAAGTATTTCAGGTTAAAGTGGTGAGGTTGTCATTAATGAACTTGACCAAGGGAGGAGAGTCCTTTAAAAAAGACTTATGTGTGTTGCTTTTAACTCATTGTAAGTTGTGTTTGGGTTATATCAGTTCTTGGTATAAGCCCAGTCAGGGTCCCAAAATTTCCCCTTTCAATTTAAAAAATACATGTGCTTACTCATATTTTGTCCCTACGAATGTGAAATTGATATAAATTTAAAGCATTGGTCAAGTTAAGTGAAATGTTTTGTAGTATGTAAACTGTTCTTCAATTACTTATAGTTCTGATTTATAGGAGATGTACCTGTTTTGACATCAGAAGACAATACTGTATCTCAACCGGCAAAAATACTTAATTTTTTGAGAAAACAGGTGGGTGGTCATTTTATTACCTGCTTATTTTCTCAGTTTGATTTTTTTGACTTTTTTCCCCTGGTGCCTTTTATGATTAAAAAAAATTTTTTTTAAAGAAAAATTGCTTTCATTAAGTACATCTGTCCTTTATTAGTAATCACCTAGTATATTTCTAAATAGCAAATTGTCAGCTTTTAGGAACTATGCTCCATCATTGTTTGACTTTG